ACTCTACTCTACTCTACTCTACTCTACTCTACTCTATTCCTGGTGTGGTAAGCAAATGTTCTTACACTTCTGAGGAGACTTTACCATCTTTCAATTATTTTGTTGATTCTTTCACAATGAAGTTGAACTGCATTTATTTTTATGAGACCCTTATGAGACAACTGAAACTACCAAAAAAGAATCCACTTCCCCCTCCACATTTTTTCCATTGTTGAAGGGTACAGAGCTACCATAAGAAGCCAATTAGGCTAAGCCATAATTCAAAGGCTCCTGAAATGCCCAAAGAATGCTATATCCTTGCACGCATTCAACAAATACACATACACACATTGCTTAAGAGCAGATGGAACAGCCTTGGCTCCATTTACATTCTTTTCACTATATTCACTACTATATCTGATGCAGCTCATCATTCAGACTTCTCTGGAGAAATCCTTAAAACAAACATACACATGATTAAAATGGAAATGTTCGTTTTCCAAAAATGTTTGAAATATTTCGAAGTTTTAAAAAATGTGCTATTTCTTTCTTTCTGAAAGATGGGGAAAACGCTTTAGAAAGCAGCTGTTTGCCGTTATGTGTTGTCCATCTCTGAATGTACACTGAGAGCATTTGCACCAAAGACAAATTCTTTGTGTGTCCAATCATACTTGGCCAATAAAGAATTCTATTCTACTCTATTCTATAAAAAAAAAACAATAGAAAAACAAAATATGGCTGTTCGATTGTTATGTGCAGGCAACCAACTTTCTCCTTTTTTCTAAGAAGAAATTACAGGCAGTGTCCAACTTATGACCACAGTTGAGCACACATTTCTGTTGCTAAGTGAGGAATTTGTTAAGTGAGTTTTGTCCCGTTTTACAACTTTTCTTGCCCCCAGTTGTTAAGTGAATCACTGCAGTTCGTAAAATTAGTTAACATAGCTGTTAAGTGAAGCTCTTTTCCTCATTTGTTTTTTAAAAGGTCGCAAATTTTGTGCAACTGTCACAAATGCCAGTGACTTGCCAAACATCTGAATTTTGACCATGTGACCATGGGGATGCTGCAGTGGTCATAAGTGTGAAAAATAGTCATAAGTCACTTTTTTCAGTGCTGTTGTAACTTTGAACGGTCACTAAATGAACTGTTGTAAGTGGAGGACTACCTGTATATGCGGCAATGTAATGGCTATTACATTGGACTGCTAATGTAACCCACCAATCCTGTGCTTTCTCACTCCTCCAAGCAGTTTTTTAAAAAAGTACATAAAGAGAAAATCTAAAATTTAATGCTTAAATAACCTCTTCAAGGGAAAGTTAGGTGTTGGTAAGATGGCAAGTGAAGGATCAGGGAAGCTGTCCTTTCTCAAAAAGGACTTTCTATGATTTCACAAAATTAAATTAATGCAATTTCAAACATTCACAATTCAGGAGATTGTTAAAACTAGGCCATCTCTCAGAAGACATCATGAATGCTTGGCAATTGTTCACAATATTACAGGGTTTTCATACAAGATATTTTGGTCATGAGAAGTGGGGGCAGAATTTAGCAATTCTTCCCAATTTAGCAATAGCCCTTAGACTTATATACCACTTCATAATGCTTTACAGCCCTCTCTAAGCAGTTTATCCAGATTGCCCCCAACAATCTGGATCCTCGTTTTACTGACCTCAGAGGGATGGAAGGCTGAGTCAACCTCAAGCTGGTGAGACTCGAACTGCTGGCAGTTGGCAGAATTAGCCTGCAATACTGCATTCTAACCACTGTGCCACCATGGCTCTTTTGCATTCTGCATTTGAAATAGTTGCTAGAGTCCAGTTGTAAGTATTTATGATACAACCACATTTGGAAAGATCCATACAACTTTGCACTAACTCACATATTTACATTCTGTAATAACTGTAATCTCAGCAAAATCCTCTCCCAAATGAAGGCGAATATACATGTCCCAGGATAATGTTGCAGGATCCAATCTGGGTGGGTTACCGGGATCAGAGGTTTTGTCTCCCGAGCTTTTGGACTCATGCTGGAGCCCATCCTCAGGGAACTCCTCTCTAGTAGAGTGTGTGCTCTAGGCTATTCTGTGTGTAGTATTTCTATGGTGCCTGGTTGTGTGTGGCTCATAGCTGGCCACTAATATCCCAATCAACAACTAAAAAGCCACACACAACCAGGCACTACCTGAATAGAATATGTGCTTTGGGCATAGAATAGCCCAATGTACACATTCTGGTGAGAGAGAAATTCCCTGAGGATGGGCTCCAGGACAAATCCAAAAGCTTGGAAGACTAAACCTATGGTCTCGGTGAATACTGAAAAATCCTCTCCTTTCCCTGAATAAAGGTAAAGATTCCCCTCACTCATGCGTGCAAATCGTTCCCGGCTCTAGGGGGCGGTGCTCATCTTCATTACAAAACTGAAGAGCCAGCGCTGTCCAAAGATGTCTCCATGGTCATGTGGCTGGCATGACTAAACGCCGAAGGCTCACGGAACACTGTTACCTTCCCACCAAAGTGGTCCCTATTTTTCTACTTGCATTTTTTACATGCTTTCAAACTGCTAGGTTAGCAGAAGCTGGGACAAGGAACGGGAGCTCACTCCATTACGCGGCGCTAGGGATTTGAATTGCCGAACTGCTGACCTTTCTGATCGACAAGCCCAGCGTCTTAGCCACCGAGCCACCACGTCCCTTTCTTTCTCTGAACGCAACATAATTATTCTTTGCAGAGCTCTGAAAAAAACCATGCCACAATATATGATCTATGAGCAATACCTACAGGTCTACAGTAAGTTCAACCAGACTAAAACTTCTTACAGCTTTAGTAGGGTGGGACACACGGTTATATTTGCAACCCAAGGAAATAAAACCCCCACTGCTTTAGGCCGGTAATACATCCAAATGTCAACAACCAAAGATAACTCCTGTTCTGATTCACATCAGCAGGGGCTGTCAGAGAGAAAAGACACTCTTCAGCAAATCCAAGAAATAAGGTCAGCCAAACCATCTCTTGACAACATTGGACACAATCCCCTCTTGGGTTTCCAACTGTTTTCCACATTTTCCCGTATGTAAATATCCCCATGCGTGATATTGGCTTACAGCATGTTTAGAGTATAATGCAATGGGCCAAGAAAAAAAAATTCCCAGAAGACCTCATTTAAAACAGAAATGCTTTATTGAAGAACTGGAGGGTGTGGTAGCTTGGAGCAAAGGCTTACATATAAGGTTGGGGGGCGGGGTGTCAGATTTTCTTCTCTCCAAAAAAAATTCCTTTCGAAATTCTCCTAGGTTCAGAATTGGCCATCAGGGAGGAAAGATTACTGTGGGAGAAAAATATATAAAAGCTTCTGGGGTTTTAAGAGTTGGTCTTCTTTTATACAGTTGCTAACTGTGGACCTGAGGAACTGTAGACTATGAAATGTATTGTGTTGCCTGCCCTAACATGCCCTATAGAAATTTGATATGGGTGTCCATTTCTTGACATAATTAACACTTGACTGTGTATTGATGGCTGCTCTGGAATAAAGATTCATAAGTATCTTGGCATGTAGGTTCTGAATCACATTCTCTCATCTAATGATATACAATTAAAAACACAGAGATAAAGATATTGTGAGAGCTGATTTCATGTAGGAAAGTCATAGAGAATGTGATTCAAAACCCTGGAATTCTATAATGTTGAAGTTCCCTGAGGTCTATATAAGAAAAGCTTCTTTGTTCCAAGAGAGAATAAAAGAACAAAAGAAAGAAAGAGAAAGAGAGAGAGAGAGAAAGAAAAAAAGAAAGAAGGAAGGAAGGAAGGAAGGAAGGAAGGAAGGAAGGAAGGAAGGAAGGAAAGAAAGAAAGAAAGAAAGAAAGAAAGAAAGAAAGAAAGAAAGAAAGAAAGAAAGAAAGAGAAAGAAAGAAAGAAAGAAAGAAAGAAAGAAAGAAAGAAAGAAAGA